GTGCTGATAGCTTCTGTTCCCAATTTATTAACAGGTAACTTCTGTTTCAGTTAAAGAAGTTGTATTTTAGGTTTTGTTTGCTTAACTTGGAAAAGTTGATAAATAATATTTGACTGTATTCTTCAGAGTTCCTAATGAGAAATATTAAATCAATAAACTATGAGTCATTCACTTTCTCATACCCCATCAATGTTAGTCCAGTTGAGTGCCAGGTGTCATGTGAAAAATAGCCAGAGACACCTGCCTGAGTGTGTTGGTCTCTCTGAGTAAGGCTCTCCTTTGTGCTAGAAAGGAGCTCAAAGTGTTTGAGGAAGGAGGAAAGTTAGGCCCTCAGTTAAAGCATGCAGTTTGCAAATGATTACTTCAGTGATAAAGGTCTCAACATAGACTTAACATTGTCTCAGAGGACACAGATAGGAAAAAGAAGAGTTCTTTCTCTCAAGAAGCTTCCCCACATGATGCAGTGTGCTAACAGACAAGCTATCTGTAATACTGGGTGGTGAAGTGAATATTAGCCCAGGAAGTGAAAGGGATGAGAGATAATCATTCACCTCAGCACTCTCATTTGAATGCTACTGTTACTTGGCTGTTTCTAATTCCATTCCAGGATAGGCATCTACCAGTAATTCTTACATTAGCAGCATCTTGGTATAATAGGCATTTGATGGAGAAAACATGTTTGTATGTGTGCCTAGAAATAGGTGGCTAAGTTGTCAATAAGGATATAAATGTGTTTTTATATCCTTTTTTTATATGGCATGTTAAGCCACTCTGCAAAAAAAAAAATCAAACACCTTATTCTGACATAGTTTACATCTAGATTTAAATTCATACTTTCCAAGGGAACATGTGCTCTATACTCTTGTCTCCATAGATACCAGGCATTCAAACGCTATTTTGCCAGCATATGAGAATTGAGGACTCAAAGGCACTGAAAACTAATATATAGGAAGAGTGGCAACGATAAGTCATGCTACAATGTGTAGAAAACTAGAAAGCATCCCTACCCATCCTTCAAATATTTGGCTGGGAGCGATGCTCTGGGTGGCAGGAGAAACTGATTAACCTTTTACCCCTAAGGAGATTCCTCAGGCATACAGTACGCTTAATGCCAAGGGACAGACAGTGCTTAATAGCTGTTCGGCATCTCTGAAAAAATTGCAGTGATTGTAGGAATATCATTGATAGATTAGGGTTCTCAGGGATCCTGGGGAATAAAACCTGAACATATTTCATGTTCTTTTCTTTGTGTTGTGCTGGCTTTTGTTGGAAGTCTTTTTGAGCAGTTACATGTGCAGAAGATGAGCTAAATGAATAGGAGGAGGAGACAGAAGGAGCTTGCAAAATTAAATACCCTGCTGAGATATTTGTCCATTCAGCAGCTTCAGTAGCTGAACACCGGGCCTAATCCTGCGGGGGTGCAGCGGCAGTAAAAGTGTTAGCCCCTGCTCTCCAGAACCCACAACTAACTGGAGCTACCACACAGCAGCATGTGCAGTAATTAAGCAGTGAGCCACGGAGTGCCATGTCACAAGGCTAGAAAGAACAAGGAAGGAAGGGGACCAGTGTTGTCTGGCTTGGTCAGGGAAGGCTTGTGGAAAGGTCCTGAGCGGAGCTTTGGAGACAAGGGGGTTGAGGTTAACAGAGGCAAGGCAGAGGAGCAGCCTTCCAGAGTGAGCAGAAGTTTTGAGTTGAAACCAAAGCCAAGGACCTCGGCAGGGGTTCCCACCAGCTGGTCTGGTTGAGAAGAATTTATGGGACAAAATGATGGGACGATCTGGTTAGAAAGGCAGGGAATAGCCAGACTATGAATTGCCATGGACTTCAAGGCAAGAGTTTGGATTTCATGATCTGGGAAAAGGAATGATGAATCTCTGTTTATCTTGAGTAGCTGGGAGGCAGTGTTTAGAATAGGATGGAAACAAAGTTCAGACCAAGAATACTAAAAGGAGGGAGTTGTCTTAGTTTAGAAATGGTGTAAGTACCTGGGTTGGGATGGTAGAGCTGAGAATTCAATGAAGCAAGAACTTCATATTTCAGAGGAAGAGGGCAGTGAATAAAAAGCATACTGACTTTGCAAGGGTTGTTTGCCAAGAATATGAAAGGCATTGAAAAGATGAAACTGTGGAAGTTTGAGCTAGATTACAAGGAGGAAGATGATGATTTTGGTTTCAGGCAAGTTATGTCAGAGATAATGGTGGTCCTTCCTGGCTGTATCATGAAAACATCTGAAAGTACAGACTGGAATTCACATGAGGACCCAGGGCATATCCCAGAATTTGTTACATTCATTGGGGGGAAAAATTAGTCTCAAGTGAAGCCAGCAGAGACAAGGCTTAACCGTAAGGGAATAGCTACCATTATGATGGTAATACTCTTACCATTATATTACCATTATAATAATCTTACAATATAAGATTATATTATTTTAGATGAGGTTGAAGAAGATTCTAATTGTGGCCACTAGACATGAATGCCAGTGTGTATAAAACTTTCAGGGTTATATAAGGGAGAGGGTAGCACACTGATATTATGTATCTGAAACTGATTCATGTCCACTGTGCATAGTGAGGGGCATTATCCATATTACTTAAGAAAGTTAGATATTTTAACATTAGAGACAGGTTATCTGATCTTATATCTATCAATTATTTAAATTGCATTTAAATGTGTTTTCACTGACTTCTTATTTCTTTCTTTCTTCTAGAGCTAACTTATCTCTTGTTATATTTCAGACTGCTGACTTACATTACCTTCATTAGAAATTTTGAAGAAATACAGTCTTCTTTTATTACTTTATGGATAAAATAGTACCAGAGAGATAATCAAGGATGGACACTTAGAAAGCAATTCAAGGAGAAAATTCCAGTACTTGCCAGAAGTAATGTGTAGAATGGGGGATACTAATTTAAGTTCTCACAAACCTGGGGTAGAAGTCTTGGCACCAGATTTTCTGCCGATAATGCAGTTAGATATGAGCCATTTTTCTCATTAAATTAGAGATGGCATCCCTTCCTCTCTCTAATAGTGGCTATAACAGGATCTCAAGGAAATTTAAACCAGTTATGTTGCATTGCAATAAATGAATTGAGCAGATTGGAAAATTAGTTGTAAAGGCATGTACCACTGAATTTTAAAATTTTAAAAATGTAATGTGGAAGGTACAGTGGATTAGAAAAGAAACTTGATTATCAACAAGGATATGCTTCAGGATAGATTAAAAGTAAATGTGTACGGCCATTCATGAGGAACGTGTCGTGGATGCATCCGTGCTTATTCATAGCCCGTGGCTCCAAGAGCAACTGAATCCCATGCAATTCCCTTGGCTGGTCTGCTTAGGTAGTACCTGAGGATCCCCTTTGTGAGCTACTGCCGTTCATAAGTATCACAGATCCCCTTCCTGACAAGAACATTACCTTCGGGAGAATTCTGGGGCTCAGATCCGTCAGTGGTCTGAAAGAGATAGAATATATTGCAAGATTATATGTACTCATTCTGGTTTGTTTAGCCCACTTTCACCTCACCCTTGGTCCTAGAAACTTTTTGTTACTGTTTAGATTATGTCCAGGTACAAGTCACAGAAATCCAAAAACCATTGGCTTAAACAGGCTAGACCTTTATTTCTCTTTACTGTAAAAACCTGGAAGTGGTCAGTCCATGACTGTGGGGAAGGTCATCTCTTCCATTAAATCTTCAGTAACCCAGCTTCCCTCACACTTAGGAGCTACCGTCTTTAAGGTGTGGCCTTTCTTCTCATGGACCCAGATGGTAGCTTTCACGTTCCACACAGCAGGATAGAACAAAGAACCCAAAAGAAAAGTGAATGAATGCATGTGCCAGCTGCCTTGCCAGGAAAGGTCCCACAAGTTGCCTCACAATACCCTTGCTTCTGTCTCAGTGACAGGAACTCAGTCATATACCTGCATAGCCCTGCAAGAAGACGGAGAAGTGAAGTGTGCCTTTTGGGCAAACACAGCCTGACCAAACCACCTATTACAGGCCTGAAGGGGGGAATAAATACTGGGAGAAAATGCCTTTATTTTCCTTTACCATGGAGTCATGGCATTAAGAGGTAGAGTTTGTGAACCACCTGGGGAGGGACCTGGAGCAGAGTGCTAGACACAGAGCAGTGTGGCAGTTAAGAGCCTGGACCCTGAAGTCCTCCTGCCTGGCTTTGATCTAGGTCATTCTAAGAGATCAAGGGGAAACGGTATCAGTACCTTCCTCTTTGAATTGTTGGGCCAATTAAATTAAGTGCTGAATATAAAACATGGAGGATGATGTTTAACACTTCACAACCACTTGATAACTGTTCGCTTTTATTATTTGAAAGTAACGTAAAAAGTTTCTGAGGGTAGAGTTTTTACATAGAACTTTTCCATACATTCCTGAAATTGGAGGATGTATTTACTTTTCCAGATATGATAAGCTTTGGAATGATTGACATTGTGTGTGTGTGTATGTGTGTGTGTGTGTGTGTGAATTAACTAGCATGTGCATGCTTAATTGGGGGTTGGGGTAGTGCCTAACCATATGAGTGACTTTCCTGTGGGCTCTGCATGTTTCGTTGACACTACTCTATAGGCTCTTGCCTCTTTATATCAGTTTTGACGTGAAGCATATTTTCCATTAAGAATTTACAGGTTCCCCCTTTCCACTGGGGTAACAAAGTGGGAATTGTGCATCACATCAAAAGAAGACCATCCTTGGATGGAAAGGGGCTCAAAGATGGCCCGTGGAGTGGGTATGCTCTGTTCACCTGCAAAGGGATAGACCACTCTAAATTTCAGAACTAATGTCAGTCAAAATGGAAAAATCTGGCTTCTCCTTTATTTAGAAATGGTGATAGGGGAGAAGTGGGTAAAAGCAAAGCTTGAGATTCCGACTTTGATGTGACTGTTTCCTTATGATTATAGACAAGCAAATAGATGTGTTGAGATGGTTTTTTTGCCATTACCTAAATGCTCTTTTGCTTCTCTCTTTTTCTTTCCTTCTCTAAGCCCCTTCTTTGTTCTGTGGGTTTTCTTTTGTAACTCCTCCAGACTACAGCTTTGTTCCCCCTTCTTCCACTCCTTTCTGGTCAGGTACTGCTTTACTGCTTTTATATGTCTTTTCCACTTGCTTCTGTTTGCAAATAAAATATTTTGACCTCTGTGTATTGCTTCTCGTATAGATGCATCTCCTCACAAGTAGTCCCTAGAGTCACATTGTCACTGTGTAGTTTCCTCTTTTCTGTCATAAAGTCATCATCTGTCATGACATCTCACTCCTCTGGTCTTATGTGTGTGCTCATTTTATGTATTTCCACCATTTTTTTTTTAATCTGTTGGGGGAGAGGTTGGAAAGGGTTAAGGTTGAAAATACAAAGGGGAATGGACCACTCTACTAAAATCATTAGTTTTCTTGAGGCTCAGAAACTGTAGTTGAGGAAAGCCAATGTTAACATAGTTCCGTTAATAAAATAAACAGAACCAAAACCCCAACTTTGTGTCCAACTAGAAAACTGAAGTTCATGTTGCGTGGGAGGATGAGCAGTACCCATCAGCTTGTGTACAGGCATCCTGCTCTTGATTTCTGTCACGAGCCTGAGAACTTGATGGCTGTTTATGTGCCTTGTAGGGGAGTACATTATAGCTAGGTCAAGTATGTTTTCTTACAGATTTTTAAAAATTAACCTGTAAGTCCCAGTGGAATCATAACCTCTAGTCCCAAAAGAACTTAGACGTCAGCTAGCAGAGACCTTTCATTTTATAGATGAGAAATGTGTGACCTCGAGTGTTAGAGAGACCTGTGCAAGGTCGCACATTTACGTTGATGATTGGTTTTTCCATCGCTGGGGTGTTTTTATGGGCACCAACTCTGAGAGTAGTGCCCCAGTAATGGGACAGGTTTCAGTAAGAAAACTATTAAAGTGGTTTGTGTCTGAACAGTAAAATAAAATGACCTATTTTTACTCCCTTTACAGTTCTGAAATCTAGAGCATTGCTCTTCGTTTATCTCATGATAGACACCTGGAGACTCAAAACTAACTGTCATGGCAAAGCTCTGAGGGATAGGCCAGCGATGCCTGTGGGGATCCCAAGTGGGCAGGCCCTTTGAGGCTAACACCAGTCATAACCACGGCTGCCTGGGCACTGGGAACTGTTAAAAATATAGATGTGTGGCATTTCCCATTTGTTTCTTTTTTCTTATACTTCCGTTCCTCTGCCATTTAAGGTTTATAAAGTCCCACCATTCCCAGGTGAGTGATTCTCAGAATCACTGCACATATAATTGAAAACATTTTATAACCCCAAGGAGCAACAGGTAGAGGAGTTAGTATGAAATGTGTCACAGAACACTAGAGAAGAACAAGCGTACAGCTTGAACAGAGTTTTTCTTTCAAGGCAGGGTGGGTTAGGACAAGGAGTAAGTTAGCTCTTCTCTTACCGTAAAACAGATCTGAATATAGCAAATGAACACTCTGACATCTTGTTTTTGAGTACATTTCTTCAGCAAAGTTTTCTATACCTACCGTATTTGTTTGAAAGAAAGAGGACAAATTGATGGTGTTTATGCATCCTTCCAGTGAAACATGAAATCTTTTATAAAACAACAACTGAGTTTGTCCCCAAATAGTTTTAACCACCCTCCTCCAAAAAAGGCTGACTGGAGGAGGAAGAGCCATTTAACTAGAAGTAATGACATGGATTCAAGAGGAGAATTTCAGAGCAAAACCTTTGGTTGTTTTGAGTCTCCATTGAAATTACAAGGTAAAAATGTAGCTTTTACCTGAGAGGGTCTCGTTAGAAATGGATTACTGTGCCATCAATAGGAAATTTATGCTAGTTATTTTAGATTCTATCTCGACTTGCACTGTAATTTAGGTATTAACTTTTTTTTTTTTCCACAAAAACTAGTCTCTGTTTTGAGGTCTTTGCGAAGAAGGAAGCAGAACAATGGTTCTTTAAACATTATGAAGTGAACTTGACTACTACACCTGACCAAATTGAAACAGCAGTTGTGCTGCTTTCAAGCTCCTCCGCCATTATCACTAGTGTGTAGTGAAATCATGGCCGTGCATTTTGATAGCATCTAGAACACTCATCTGCATAGGCTCTGGTGGGTGTGAAACCACAAGTCAGTTCTTACTCGCCATCATCTCTTTACAGTGCTAAGTCCGAAAGTGCTGGGCATTGCCATTGCGCGGTATGACTTCTGTGCCAGAGACATGCGAGAGTTGTCCTTGCTGAAGGGAGATGTGGTGAAGATTTACACGAAGATGAGTGCGAATGGCTGGTGGAGAGGAGAAGTCAACGGCAGGGTGAGTTGACCTTCTTGATGTGCTCATGCGGGTGAATGAAGGGGACCCAGCAGTCATTGGCACCCCGTGCGGGGGCCTTCACCCCACAGAGCCAGGGCTCTGGAGCACGGTGGGGGTCCTCCCTGAAAACAGGCACTCAAGTTCAGTTCTTTTTAGTCTATAAGGCACTCAAGTTCAGTTCTTTTTAGTCTATAAGCTTCAGAGTATAAATTTTATGTGGACAACAGAATCTTTATAAGAGGCTGCTGATCTAAATTGGAAAGAATGGGACCTAGCACCTCTGTCTTTGTATCCTGTTCTGTAGCAGAAACAGGAAGCGTTAAGTAGGAGAGCTCTTATTACACTTAATTTACATATTTGTTTGTGTGACCAGATTAGAACACCGTGTTGGCTTATTTTATTCCTCTGTCTCTATCACTCACGCTATCAGGCTTCTAGGGCAGTTAAACCAATCCTCCTACAGTGGCCATAAAACCTCAGCTTACTCGGGGTGTTATGAGAACGAAATGCTCTCTTTGTAGAACCCTCTGGAATGCCAGATACAAAGTCATGTTGCTACAGTGGCTGCTTTTCTTTTTCAGGTGGGCTGGTTTCCATCCACGTACGTGGAAGAGGATGAATAAATTGCACTCCAGCGTCACACCTGGCACCAGAAATCTCAGAGAAGGGATACGTAGAAGCCTGCACAGCGTTGTGAATTGACTAAGGTGTTTAAAAAGCCACATTTCTGGCTATTCAACCTCCTCTCTCCTCTTCCCCTCCTAAGTCTTAATGCTGGGATTTCTAAAGATGCTGGTACTGACAGATTAATGGCTTGCCTCGAGCTGTGCAAGAAACAGCCTGCCAGTCTGTCGTTGTCGGGGACCAGGGCAGAGCCCAAAGCTTCTTTTCCCAAGAGAGCCCTGCAAACACATTGGCTCGTGTTGCTCTTTACTCTGTGTGGTCAGACACCATGAATGCCAGCTATTAGTAAATGTGGAACACATATTTACTTTCTTCTCACGTGCCATTTGCCAGAATTTTGGATGGTACAAAGAAGCAGAAGTTTCATTTTGCTTTTCCCAGCAAGAGGAAAAATTCGAGTTTTGCTATTTGGGCAGCTCACGGGAAAGGCCCAACACTACTCCTGTCTTCAATTGCCTCGCAAGGTGACTCACTGCCTGGCACACACTTTTACCCCCAGATGTGACTCGTGATAAACTAGAAGAGGCAAATGCTCAGGTTTGCTTCATAAGTGATGGATCCCAGAGGGGTTTTAATTATTCATTTGATGTTCTGATTATATTTGCAAACTTCTTTTTGAAAAAAACGTACATAAAAGCAAGCATCTTCATATTAAATTTTCACAACCTTCATGATTTCGTAGGGTTATTTTGGAAATGTGTGCTTGATGAAATAATCTGGGTTGGGTATGTTCTAGGTAGTTTCAAGTAACTTGGTAAGGTGATGTTGTTTACAGAAACAGATCAAGGGCTATAATTGAGAATAATCATTTTATAGAATCGACATCTATGAACAAAGGCCTTTCCACCTGCCCCAACTCCCCACCCCCCAGCCCCTGTACAAAAAAAAGAAAAAAAAAATGAACCTGGTACATATCTGCTGAATCTCACATTTTCCTGGACTATTTATGGTAGCACAAATAACTTCGCTGAGGATCTTGTAAGGGAAACACAGCTGGGTCCTTTATGCATTTCTGGGACAGGAGGGTCACTAAGCTTTTCCTGGTCTTACTCACTGTGGGCTCCCGGCTTTCACTAAGTCTTTCCCATCTGCTGGCCCTTTTGGGATATGTGCTAACTGGTAGGAAGATCAGTTTTGCAGTGCATTTATTTGACCAAGCTTTTACTTTTTATGTGAGAAGTTTAAATATGTTTTTCCTGGGATATACAGAGTCCTCAGTCAAGGCAGTAAAGTTAAGACATTAACTTGGCCTTTTCCTGATGAAATATTTTCTTCAGAGCAGAAGTCTCCTTCTGACACAATTCAGAGAGTGTTTCATGTTTGAAGACAACAAAGCCAAAACATTAGAAGCATTAACCTACTAGAGCCAAACTCAGAACATAGGGTTCTGAAATTTTAGATCATCTCTGACATATGAGGTAGGTGTGGCCTGCCCTCTCCCAGACCCACCTTAATTCTAGAACTCAATGTTGAGTAGACACATACCCCTTCAGAGACCTTTGTGAGCTAGGACTTCTCAAAAGATAGATTCAGGACCTTTACCTCAGAATTATGTAAACTGTGATCACGTTTTAGAAAAGTTATTATTTGCTAAAACCAGTTAAGTTTTTGTATATGTGTAAATGATCACGAAAGTGAATTTTATAAAATGTTCTATATAGTCAAGTTGTACCCTCAAGGGGTTCTTTTGGAGTGGATTCTTTCCTGTGAAGTCTTATCTGCAACTCTGTGTCTCGGGAATGTTTTGTCTGTTACTGCCAGCCACATGTCGTTGTGGAGAAAGTCGCGTCACACAAATCGAAACGCTCCTGTGTACAGTACTATAGTGTGTACTGTTTACTTTATTGTTATTTTAGCCAATAGACCCCAACCCCCCTTACAAGTGGTGTTTGGTCTTCTCGTTGCATTTCATGGACCTGGGGGCTTCCTAGCAGAGGACTTGAGGCCCTTTTTCATGACATTACCGATTACATCTTTGTCTATGTTTAATACTTTGTATTGGAAATTTTAAATGCTGCAGATTTGTGTAGATTTCTAATACCAAAGATGGAAGTAAATGTTTTTTTCCGTATGCTTTGTCTTGACGGTAAGCAGCCATTGTGTAATATGGTGAATTAGAGTGGTATTTTACTTTGTAATATTTTGTAAATATGTTGATACAATAAATAGTTACTACTTGCATTAAACTGGTTTCTTGAGAGTTGAAGAGCTTTCCGTGAACAATTCCATAATTCAGCATATACGAACCTCATAATAACCATGGGTATAAAAGCCCTAATTCTGTTTAGATTTAGCTTGGGATTGCTGCCTCAGTTATGAACAGTGACCTATAAGATATGCTTGGTGGTCACATATAATATCCCCTGACCTGTTTGCTATGTGTAACACACTGTTCTAAATGCTTTCTGTGGACTAACTTACAACAATGCCAGAAGGTAGAACCCAACATCGTTGCCGTGTTTCAGATGAAGACACTGAGGCATCATGAGAGGTTTGCAACTTAGCCCAGATCACACAGCTGGTAAGGGTGGGGACTGTGGTTCTGACTTAGGCAGTCTGGCTTCAGAGCCTGAAGAGCCACTACAACACTGTATAAAGCAAAAGAGAGATATGTTTTTAAGATCACATAGCTAAGAAGAAGCTGTTTGATGCAAGATAACAGTTTATAAACAATTGGAGATGAACACAATTCAGGAACATTTGCCTGTTCTTGCCTCATAGAAGAAAACCTCAACAGATATTTCCCAAAGACTGTGTCAGAGATTGAACTTTTTCTGTCTTGATTCAAATTTTGCCCAGAAAATAATGAACTGCTAAAGCAGAAAGATCCGGAGGCAAGTTTCCTTGGGCAGAGCAGGCCTGAGGGTTGGCAGCAGGCTGGCTCAGAAAAGGGTGGGAGCCTATTCCCTCTAAGGGTCAGGAAAGCCTCATTTCCCAGGAGTAGACAGTAGCTTGAGCTCACCAGCACAACAGCACTCAGAAATACAAAATCCCCTATTTCCTTATGGTGTAGTGGGTTATCCAGGCCTACTCCCTTCACTTGAAGAACCTATGCCTTTGGTGTCTTTTGTTTTATCCCTTCTCTTTGACATTTAACATTAATGTGACTTTTAGACCTTGGATCAAATCATTGCCATCCTTACCACCACTGAGGACTCCCTCTTAATGTATTAGTTAACATGGGAATACATGCTTTATAACATTCCAGTGTATTTTGTCTTCCATCCAGGAATTGAAGTAAACCACGTAGATAATTAGTCTCCAGGACTATCTGACAGCAGTACAGAAGAGCGGTGAGAGCTTGGCCCCAGGTAGCAGACCACACGCGTGGGTCCGTATCCCGTCCAGGCCATGCGAGGCCTCAGCCAATCAGGATAACAAAGTCATGTGTTTCAGAGAATGGTTGTGAAAGCGTGTCTGACATAGCCTGAACCGTTTTTGTCATCATTATCATCACTCTTGTCATATGGATTTGCTAACAAATTTGGGTGGTTGCCATATTAATCTTTGAATTCCTTTAGCGTAATTTAGACTTATCTATTGGATTAAGGAGTAGAACTCCTCAGACCTTATTAATCTATCTAGGAAGCAAATTCAGCCATTTGATGTCACAGGAAGACTGGGAGTTCTAGCATGTCAGATCTGGGTTCAAACCCCAGCTTTGCTATTGACTTTTCTGAAGTCAATTTTCTCTTCTATAATAAAGGGATAATTTTAAGTGTCTGAGGGGCATGTAAGAAAGATAAACCATAACATGAAAAAGATGCCCAGGAAAGAGCCCGGAATATGGTGGGTACTCAAGAAGTGATACCCTTCCCTTAATGAACTATAAAATACTCAGGAATCAAGTTATATATACTTGCAGCTTTTATTTTGAATACTAGAGCTAATGCTTTGTTTCTTAGACATGGTTTAATTTTGACCATTCAAATTACAGATGGAGTAATATGTATATCTTCAGGAAGATTAATATGCAAACCCACAAACAATCTCAGAAGTTGAGTTTAACAGCTCCACGTTATTTTCACTAGGAAAACGGAGTTTTCACCCAGATCATAATCATTTAGACTCAATCCATCAGTCACTTCATTTTTCACTGAAAATAGCTTTATAGGATTGGATGGATTCTGATTAGGAAATTATGCCCTCACGTCTTGCAGACTTTGGAAGGTACCTTACTGCAAGTAATGGATAAGTCCTAGAAAGAAGGTAAAAAAGGGATCCTATCTCTAGTTAGATGCTACAACTTTCTGTCAGAAAGTTCTAGAGTTTCTAGGCACAATTCAACTTGGGTAACTCAGCTGTTGAGAGACCTCAGTGCAAAAATAGAATGTACACAAAATTTCCTCATGCCCTATGTTTTAATAGACACCAGGGTCCATATTGAGTCCTGAGCTGGGGGAAGGTGAGCTCCAGAATAGCTGATGTGTCCAACCCATCGACCACTTCCAGAGCCTTGTCCCCTTTCCCCCGGCCAAGTGAGTCTGGGCAAAGCACAGAAGATTTTCATCTCTGAAAATGAAGAGGTTAATTGGTTGAATTCTGTTACTTCCATTTTAGCTCCACAGTTTTGTGAAATTCTGGGGTTTTTTTTCCCTCATGGTTCAGAATAAATTCAAAGCCTTTATCAAAACGTGCAGGTTTTAAAATAGACCAGCACTAACCATGCAAGTCAAATCTCGTTGTATTGACAAGTAACTGCTTAATCATTTCATGGCTGTACGTGGCACAAGGGCGACTCCATGGGTCTACCTTATTCACACTGGTGTCAAGGGACCGTCTGTAGAGTGGATTCTTGTGTGGGGACTTGTGGGCATCAACTGGAGATTCTGTGCCCAACTGCTAAGCGAGCATTGGACTTGGAAATGGTGGAGTTCCATGTGATGGTTTCCACTGAACCACAGAAAGCACAGCTACTCACAAGATCATTGGAGACTGGCCAGTTCGTGGCTGGTGACATGACACCGCCTTTCTCCGAATTGCTTGCATCACCCCAACACCTCTGCCATAGCCGCAGTATGTTCGAGTTACTACTGTGGCATGCCCACAGGGGGCAGACATACAAGTGGGCTACGTGTAATCTAGATTTGCCTCCTGCCACTAACACACAGTAAACAGAAACCTCCCCACATTTGCAGTCTGCAGCCCACAAGATCCTTTCAGACTTCAGTGCATCAGACTTGGAGCAGTACCCAAAAGGCAGGTAGGT